TTCATCCCTTCTGCAATGCCATTCTGCTGAGGTGTATCTGTAATGGTCCGATGACGGGGAATCCCTTCATCCTTGCAGAATTTGTTGAACTCAGAACTGCAGAACTCCAAACCATTGTCCATTCGCAGTTTCTTGATCTTCTTTCCGGTCTGATTCTCCACCAATGTCTTCCACTGCTTGAACTTTGTGAAAGCCTCACTTTTCTGCTTCATCATGAAAATCCAAGTAAATCTCGAATAATCATCAATAATAGACAGAAAATACATGCTGCCTCCAATGGATTCAACTCGTGAAGGACCCCAATAGTCAGAGTGGAGGTAATCCAGTATCCCCTTCGTCTGGTGGACACCCTTCTTAGGAAACTTGTTGCGATGTAGCTTCCCAAACCCTCAATGCTCACAGAATTCCAAAATATGCACCTTGTGCCCGCAAAGAAGATCCCTCTTCGACAAAACTTGTATCCCTCGTTCACTCATATGCCCTAGTCTCATGTGCCAGAGAGTGGTCATATCTTCCTGATGAACCTGAGACGATGCAACTGCAGCAGAACCAGACAACATAGAACCTTGTAATCATACAATGTCCCACGTTTCACGCCCTTCAGCACCTTCCTTGAACCTTTGCAGACATACACAACTCCACCTTTCCTTTGAAGCTGAAACCCTTGCTGTCAAGTAGACTCAAGGATATCAGGTTCTTTGTCATTCGTGGAACATGCCTGACATCATTCACGGTACAGAACGAACCATCATGTGTCCGAACATATATGGACCCGATTCCAACAACCTTGCAGACAGCTCCATTTTCCATGACCACGTTACCACCATCTATCTGCTCGTAGGTTGTGAAGCAATCCCTGTTTGGAGACATATGGTATGAGGCTGCAGTATCCAGAAAACACACATCACCACGATGTGCCTTCTCATCTACAGCCAATGCGAGATCGTCTTCGGAACTGTTGTCTACTTCTGCCACGACAACTGAATCGTGGTTCTTCTATTGCCCTCTTGCCCTCTTCTCCTAGGACAATTGTACTTCCAATGACCCACTTCCTTACAATTGTGACAAGCATCACCTGGCTGTGGACCGGGACCATTGGAATTCCTGTTCGAATTCCCTTTACCAGATTTCTTCTTTCCCTTTCCACCTGTAATAGCCAAACCCAATGCTTAACCACCCGTACCAGAACCGTACGTCTTATGCCTGATCTCTCTCGTGTGAAGAGAAGATCTGACATCCTCCAACGACAAGCTATCTTTACCAGCAATGAAAGAATCCACGAAATTCTCATATGAAATCGACAGAGACACAAGCAGGATTAGGGCAGCATCTTCATCGTCAACCTTAACATCTATATTGCGTAAGTCTAGCAAGATAGAATTAAGCTGTTCCAGATGATCCCTCAAAGGCGTACCTTCTTGCATCCTCAAGCTGAACAACCGTTGTTTGAGATGCAGCTTGTTGGTTAAGGACTTCATCATATACAGAGTCTCCAACTTTAACCACAAGCCTGTGGCAGTCTTCTCAACAGCGACTTCAATGATGACGTCATCAGACAGCGATAGCATGATGGCCGAGTGGGACTTCTCCTCCAAAGTATTCCACTCATTGTCATCGACTGCTGCCTTCTTCTTTTTCGCAAATAGGGCCCCCCAGAGTCCTTGCTGTTTCAATAAATTCTGCATCTTGATCTGCCATATGGCGAAGCTGTTCTTCCCTGTGAACTTTTCGATCTTCATGTTCACTGACGTCATTCTTCTTAATCGAAATATCCTAGCCTGATTTCCAGCCGCGGCTCTGATACCACTTGTTATAAACGCGCTGCTACGGATCGGAAAATCGCCAGTATCGATAAAGCAAGAATACATAAGTGAGAATAAAAAACACGACACACGATTTACACGATTCACTAACACGATGTGTGTTAGCTAGTCCACGGGCGAGAGAGAGTCGGTTTCACTATATCGAGGAGATTACAGATTACAGAGGAGATGAGACGTATTTATACTATCTAGTCGTAGCGGCTAATAGTCCGATTCAAGTCACATCAACACCGGTGAAGGGTTTCTAGAGGGTGGGAATGCGTTAGCCTGGTTTCTTTTTTTTTAAGTAGCCACCATGGCTACCTCCTTTTTGGCCATTCAGGTTATGTAGATCCAATCTGATGGCCCACTTTGCTTAAGGGTTTTTTCGGAAGGGACCCACACGATCATCTCCTTTCTTACTGGGCCCGAAATCAGAGTGAGATTTCCCTTGCCCCACGCTTCCCTTCTTTATTGATTGTCTTTCCTTATCAACGTAGCTCCCAAAACCCCTTTTCCCTTTTTTCTTTTGCAGAGAGCAGAAGCTTCTTTCGCGGCAGACCTTAGATATTGCCGACGTCGCATTCTCTCCCCGTCGCCGCGTTCTTTTCCTGGCGCCATGGTCTCTCTCCGGCGCCGCATTCTCTCTCCGTCACCGCGTTCTCTCTCTGGCGCAGTGGTCTCCCTCCCCCGCGCAAACATAGAAGGCTTTTCTGGATCGTCGCCACCGTCGTTCCTTTCTGGCTAGGGTTCCCGGCGACTGGTTCTTTATTAGTTGGTGGGTAAACGAGCTTTTTCGGCGTCTCCCTACGCTGTTTAGAGTTCCTGTTTGTTCCACTCCGACGGCGCACCGGCGACATTCATTTTAGCTCATCCGGCATCCATTTTCGTTGTCACAACGTCTCGGCTGTGAGCTACTGTTCAGAGGTTGGTCTCCAGCCAGAACCCTAATCTTCAAATTTAAACGTATTGTGGATTTATTTTTGTTTTGAAGGGTATTCTTTTAGTTTTTGTATCTTTTTTGGTAGTGATTTAGTTTTTAGGTTGTTAGGATTGGTAGGTTCCTCTAGTGCATTGGTAGTTTTTAGGTTGTTAGAATGGTAGCTTTCAGGTTGTCGAATGTTTGGTTCATTTCATGCAATGGTAGTTTCCACCTGTATGTGAAACCGCTTTTTGATGCGGAATGGTAGTGTTCTGCTGGAATGGTAGTTTTTTTGTTTCTTTTGAATGGTAGTTTCCTTTCATGCATTGGTAGTTTTCTGTATACATGTGATTGGTAGTGTTATGCTGGAATGGTAGTTTTCATGCATTAGTAGTTTTCTGAAACCGTGCTTTTTTTGATGTGGAATGGTAGTGTTATGCTGGAATGGTAGTTTTTGCCTTTTTGAATGGTAGTTCCCTTTTATGCAGTTGTAGTTTTCTGCATACATGTGAATCTGGTGTTTGATGTGGATTGGTAGTTTTTTTATCCATGAAACGGTTGTGATGCTTGATTACTATCTTCCATTTTCCCGATTTTAGGAATGTCAAGAACCAAGAACCCTAATTGTAGGGCTTTAAAACACAAGGAACCTATTACCTACAGCAGTCGTCAGGTTCAAGTTGGAAGTGGGCAAACCTCTGCCCTTGATGAAGCTGTTCCACGGAAGGATATGGGTAAATCCAAACCACCTGAGAAGAAGTGCAGCCCCGCATCGATTATAACAATTGTCGAGAATGGTATAACAAATGCAAGGATAGAACTAATAAAGAAGCTCAGATTGGATTTTGTATTCCATTTGAAGATGAAAAGGTTTGACAGCGAACTGCTTATCTTGTTGATTGACCATTTCAATGGTGACACCATGTCGATTCAGATGGCCGATGGACGTCATCTAGTCCTTACAGTTGATGATGTGCAATGGGTTTATGTCCTTTCTCGTGCGGTACCCGGATCTGGTTATCAACTCATTGCTTTGATTCCCATTCCAGTCTATCTGGCTTGAAGCGCCAACTCTCTAAGCTAGCTGGTTGAGTAGCGGTGGGGGTGAGTAAATATCCCTGGGGGTAGGGTATTACGAAAGGAAGTTGTCCTGGATTATTGTGGTCAAAAGCAGGTACCCAATGTCAACATTAATAAGTGCAAGACCCTGCTAGGACAGCTGTTGCAGATTGATTCAAAAGAGAAGGGTTGGAACAAGCTTTGGTCCTTGGAAAAAAAGTTACCCAACGTGACTGAGGACAGCTTCTGGATCCGGATGTTTGTAATGGTGGTGTTTGGATACGTGTTGGAACCTACAAGTTCTGCAATTGGTCCAATATCAGTGTTGGCATTCCTTGAAGACAACAGTTTCAGGCCCGACTTGTACACAGATGGTCCCATATTTGTCAACCCATTCTGGTGGATATGAAATGTGCAGAGTCCATGAAACGACGAAGGGAACTGGTCTCGGATTCCACAAGCTATAGCTTTTGCCTGATCAGTGAAGATGGATTTCAAGTGTTTGTTTGCATGCATGTCAGAAAGGTATTGAACAACCACGAGAATGTCGCCGCTATTTCATCGTATAAAAGTGCACCCCCGAAAATACAGAGCTCCCTATGGTTGTTAAAGCCAACAAACAATGCTACACACACAAATTCAAATGACAGTGGTCATACAATTATTTACGAACATGAAGGTACCTAGAAACATGTCAAGGCTTACCTAAAGGCCTATAGTTTAGGTTGGTTCTGTAGGTAGTGTCAAAGCTGATCGAATCTCCAAAACACTCGTAATCCAAACGCATCTTCCCATCCGCAAAAAATATACCTGCAATCTCGTCGTTAATATCTACCTGCATATCGTAAAAATATAATGGGTCCCTCCTTGCTCTCTTCATGAAATACCGATGCAGCATGGTTGCCTCCCTGGGCTCCATGCTTCCGGTCCTCGCTTTCTGTATGCAGTTTTTCAGGTCCGTTTGTAGAAATCCAAGATTCTCCTTCCCCACAGCTGCCGCGGCAAATGAAGCATAGCTGCTTCGCACAGAAATACCGACATCATCATTGAGTTTTGCATAATATGCAAACTCCTCACTAACGTCCCTCATCGTACGGATAAACCGTTTTGTTCTCTTATGTGGAGTTCATGATTGTGGACGTCCTTCCATTGATATATCTCATATTTACCGCTACTAGGTTCGTAACGGCACCTAGCCACATCTTTACATCCAAACCGAGTCTCTCCCCTCTTCCTCTTCTTAGTAGGTTCTGTGTCTACCACAACACCAACATTCTTTGGATCCAGCGTGCTCCCTGTTTTGAAACCTTCTTTGTTGCACCGTGCTCCAAAGTAAAACACCTTCCGTTCCTTAAGATATTTGGATTTTTGAGTCTGTTCTCCAATAAGTCTTACTCCAAAACCCCTCTAGTGTGCGAAGTCTTTGTAGAACTTGACAAATGCTTCCCTATTTTCAAATTTCAAATGCTGCCATGTCGATTTGTCGTCCGGGACAACTTTATACACCTGATCTGCAATTTGTAAAACAACAATTAATCACTACCATTCCAATAACTCATACTACAACTAACAAAGCACTACCATTTGATGCAAATATACCAAAAAATCACTACCATTGTAGTAGCTAATACAAAAGTCAGAACCAATACCGATCCAATCAAACAAATACCAATGCGATACGAACTACCAATAACAATCCAACATATACCAATGTAAGGACTACCATTATTCCTAAACAAGTACGTAACAATACCAATCCGAAACAAGTACGTAACGAACACATCAGCAACATGAATGTGGAAAACTTCACCTTCACCTTCGTCAGAATTGTCACAAGCGTCGCCTACTACGCCTTCTTCCACAGTTTGATCTCCGACGATACCTGACCCTTTGCAAGGGTTTCCGACCAAAAGGGATGTTAATATTTTGTCGTTCAAGCAAAAGCATACAATCATGAATGGGTTAGATTCTTACCGTCGTCGCTTTGCATCGCCATATCCTCTTCCTTGCCACCAGAAATAGGACTTTCTCCGAACAAGACTTCCATTGCTAGCCTTCTACCCTCTACCACATCCGGCGATGGTGCGACGTCGGCGATCGCCATTTCTCCCCTCCGATAACGTGTACACGGCAGAAATAGGGACCGACAAAAAATTGGGGACTTTGAAAAGCCCTACGCTGATTAAACTACCTAATAATTAGTTACCGTATTTATCTCTCCCTAATTAATTGCGTAATTAAAATGGTAGTTTGAATTAGGATGGAAGCAAAATACCCTTCTTATCCCTAGTAACCACGGGTGGGTTCGAGAGCATTTCAGAGGAGAGATATTGGATCAACTAATCATGATCTAATTTAATCGTGCCTTTACATTGTTTCCTTTATGATGAGAGAGAATTTAATCTTTTTTTTTTTACAAAAGATAATCATATATTGATCCAAAAAAATAGATAGTTACATCCTGGAACTCAGCCAGGTCTGAAAATCAAAGGAACAACTCATAGCCAGGTCTGGTATCCGCCTGATTGATCTTATCAATAAGCACATTAGCATCACCTTCAAACTGCAGCTCTGACAGTCCTAATCTTCTTACCTAAATGATTGATTATTTAGAAGCACAATTAAACATCTTATTACAATTTTGTACATACCATTGATTGAAAGGGGTTTGCAGGAAACTCCACCTAAATTCGAACATACATCCTATATATTGAAAATCAACGATAAAATTTTTACAGTGGTAATGTGGTACTTGACTTTCTGTTAAACCGTGACTCAACCACCAATCATTGAAAAATTACCCTTATCTTGTTCGAACACTTGCCTCCTAATTTTGTTCCATCCTCTTTCATTTCAACAACCTCGACCAACAACACACAAAGAATATACAATTCAATGTATATCCATTAGTTTTTACCACATTACAACCTCAACTCGATATGATCCATTGTTACATCTCTTCTATAATATTCTTTAGATTAATTTTCACTCATTCAAGTGTTAATACTTAATACACATTGGCCAATGGCCACCATACTTATATGACCCCAAAAAAGTGATGAATTTGGAGAACACCCACACACTTTTTCTTATATTTTTTTATGAATACACCTGGGTCACTGAGAATTGAGATGAGAAGTAACCATGTATACCTCAATATAAATATTCAGCCACAAATACATCAAAGAATACACATATACCACAATATGTAATACATAATACATAAAAACCCCTAAAAATTTCAACTACCCCATTGCCAAATTTCGATGCATCTATACAAAGACACAATTGAGAGAGTACTGAAGCCCTCCATTCCCAAACGTGTCCGGAACATCTCTCCACAAAGAAAACCCGCCTTCCTCCCTCTCCACCGCCGAATACGAGCCGGCGTTCCCCGCCACTCCGGCCACCGCAGCCACCGCCATTGAATTAATCGCATTGTTGCTCCCATTCGACAAATACCCATCCTCCCCAACACCACTCTCCAAGTAACTGCAATCGAATTCATCGAGGCTGTTAGAATAGCCGTAGGGCGCCCGATGATCCTCGACGGAGCTAGCCGGGCTGGCCTCGGTGGTGGCAGGGGACGGCGTAACCGGCGAATAGTATCTCTCGCTGTACTCATCGTGGTCGTCTTCTCCGACCCGGGAATCCTTTCCGGTGAGCTCCTGAACCAGAGCTCGGAACTCGGAAGCATTGGTGGCCTTGACCAGAGTGGGGCTGGAGATGTAGGTGATCTTCAGGGGCTCCTTCTTCTTGCTCGCCTTCGCCTTGGTCCTCTGTTTTTGGTTACTGAGTTCGTGATGCGTGATTTTGGCGTTATTCAACTTCCCCATTAGCACGAGACAGAGAGAAAACGAAAAGGGTTCGGGTCGATCGATGATGGTTGGTGAGTGAGTTGGGTGTTGAATTGGGTTTTCCGAAATTCGGCTCTGCTATTTATGGAGCGTGGAGAACAGGGGAAGAAGGTGAGGGGGAAATTGGGGAGAGAGGGAGCTTCCAGGAAAGGAGAAACGTTGAAAAAAAAAAGCAGAGGCGAACAAAGAGACAAAATTGGAAAAAATTGGGAAAGAGGAAAGGAGTTCAGATTATCGTATTTCACTGTCGAAGATATTATTGTGTGATTTATGAAATGAAAAAAAGGGAAATGAATCACGATTACGGATTAGCCTACTCTTTCCTTCATGTCTTTGTCTTTCCCTTCCCACCAAACTTTCCAGAATGGCTGCCTAGTTGGGTTACGTGGGGGAAACGGTGTGAAACGTTTAAATAGTGCAAAGATAATTATAATAATTATGTTCCAGAACAACGGCATCAAATGTTCCTATGTGAACTAGATAAAAAAAGATATATTCTTGTTGGTGTTTATGAGTTTTTTTATATATATCAAGATAATATATCGTAGCAGTAGAGAATTATATCGTTTTTACCAACAAAAAAGAGAATTATATCGTAACTTTGAAAGTGAGGAGACATAAAAAAGAAATTCGACGGTCTAGATATTAAATGTATAGTTCAATAATTGAATCTCGTAATGTTTAGATTTCGACAAATACATTTTACTACAAGATACACACATTCTAATTTGGGGGTGCTAAGCGTCGTGAAATATGGTAATGTCCATAAAAGTGTTGTGTACTTGTGCTTACAGACTTAATTAAAATGACATCATATCACTTATATTTATACATAAAATTTACAATTATCTAACTATTTGAAAGGACATAGATATAATATGATAAAAGTAACATAAATTAACACATCTCCAAGAATAAAAATGTGTTTAAAAAAGAAGGAACAATATATAATTTCGCATTGCTTACTTCGGGTTCGAGAAGATCGGGTCTCATTAAAAGTTAAATTTGAAAAGCAATAGAATTTGGGTCAAACACATGATAAGGAAAAAAACACATGAATACAAAAAAGAACTACAAGCAAGTCAAGTCTAACATAATGAATTGAACAAAGCCCACAGATCGAATAAAGCCTCGAAATGTTACTGAGCCTACAATCAGATCCCTGAACGCACCCCGCCGCCCCGGCAACACCTTCAACAGCAAAAATCCCGGACTTCCCCTGTTCTATGTCTTAGCCGGGTGCAATCTTTCTTAATGAGATTCAACAGCTTTCCAAAATCCTACAAAACTACAATTTTTTATAGAAACATTGTTTGTTTTGAATCTATTTTTGTACGATTTTACTTTTAGATATATGTCATAACGACGGAAGTTAGAATATGATGATATGCTAGTCCCCGTGAGAAAGTTAATTAGTGAAGCTATGGCGTCAGTAAATTATAGGACATAGCAGATTTGATGCATATATAAGTACGACCAGACGAGAAAAACACGTTATCATTTGGATATTCATGGACCAGCTGAAAGATACGAATGGTAATGAGGCATCTTCATGGACCTTTGTATCCCCCCTTATTTTATCCTTAATGCAATCACCATTATAAAAAAAAAATCATTATGTGGCAGGTCGCGTTCATGTTGAGTAATTTATCACAAGACACGAGTGAGGGTAGGTCGACTCATATGAGTATTAACTAAAAAAGAAAGTATTAGAAATAATCATTTTCATTAAAAATCCAAGAAACAACCTATAAAATTGTAATTGTTATTAAATTATTCGAGAAATTCTTACAAATTATTCAAGAAATTGAGACTCTTGCCTATTTACTACTTTATTATAGTTAAAATACGAGGCAATAAAAGTTAAATTCTAAGTAATTTGAGTAAAATTACATGCGATTCTGACAAAAAAGAATTGACAATGGAGCAGTTAAGAGCAGATCATATCAAGGAGAGTACTCATCATGTCTGTCTCGCCCCACTTACAGTATGGGTATTACCCGTCTCGAAACAAATCAAACGGATCAGATGAAATATATTATCATTTCTCCTAGAAGGAAGGCGAGGACATAGCAAATGTCCAATCTATTCCCAAGTATTCTACACTAATTCCAACTTTAACCACAAACCTTCAACAACAATCAATGCCCCTCAGCTCCATCGAATGATAAAATTAACATTCATCGTCGATTTTGCACAAGGCACAAAGTTATCACATATTATATTCAGTAATTTAGGAGATATATGTGGTCATCAATTGTGGTGATTTTGATATGTTTCACTACAATAAGAATCACTAGGAGTAAGGAGACATAACGGATAGGGCAAGGACACAAATCTCTTTTCTTTGGCAGTGACGGAGGACACCACAAGTCCACAACCCCTTTGTGATTTAAAAAGAGACTTAAAAACGTAAGCATTCAAAAAGGATAACTTGGAAGTCTTTGGTCCAACCGAATTACAATATTCTAATAATTTTTCCAAGCCCACGTGCGAAATTAAATTTTATATGGATAGCAAGGCAAGGCAAGGGGCGAATAACATTAACAAGTCAAAGGTCTTGGTCGCCATGAAACGATCTAGAAACGGATCACTCCTGTGCTGGGTCGTCGTCTAAACCAACACAAAAAGTCATAATTCATGCCTCTGCCTGCCTGCAACTCCAACGATTAATTAGTTATTACAACTTAAAAGTAGATTCATTTCTCCACATTTCCTTCCGTACGTACATGCGTTGCTCACTTCAATTGGGGAAAAAGTCTCTGTGTGCTTGGATTGGATTGGATGGCGTCGTTGGACGACTTATGTTTCGGTTGGTGGTGGCTGATTTATCAAGCTACGTACCATTTATGTATTCTATACAACACTAATTCCGTTTACACAATACTAGTGATTTTGGCCGCGCTTTGCTGCGGCCTTAGATTGATTTTGTTGGAACCATTATTGTGTTAATGATCAACTCACAATATGGATCTATTCATGCAATAAAGCCATTATCAATTTCATGCAATAAAGTCATTATCAAACTTTATGGACGTTAGGAGTAATTAGACATGAAGAGAGTCATATTTTTGGTAACTCTGCAAGTTCTTTTGTTTGGGACCGGTTATCATGTCTGTAACTGTTAGGATAATAATAAGAGTTGTAGTTATTCTGTGTGATGACCAATTAGTGATTCATTTTTGTTACATAAGTGAGTGCGAATTTTTATTATGTATTGGATTTAAATAAGACATGTTATTTTGGTGTAATGCTATATGATATTAGTATTATTCATATATTATATGAGATTTGATATAATTTATAAATGTGTGAAACAATGTAATGACTTTTTCATATATCTGAGCTAAACCGAACTAAAGCGGTTGGACCATTAATCCTCAACCCACTTGCTCGACTGGACCAACGGGCTAAACCAGCTCGACAATCCTCTAGTTTCTCCCTATTTGTTCGACGACGAAAGACGAAATACAAAAAAAAAAAAATACTGGTGAAGAAGAGAAGGAGCACGAACAGGGGTTTGGTCTTGTGATAAGTGATAACCACTAGGTTTGAACCTGGAGATCTCAAGTTCAAATCTCTTAAGTAGTAAATAAACAACAAAAAGTAAACTTATATCACCTTATAAAAAAAAGAGTATATGTCATTGGAAAAGAATGCTTGATATAATTAAGGGTTAATACCTTAGTTTGGCATGAACTATAGACAAACTTTCTACTTTGGCCCGTGGTATCGGAAATTGCTATTCTTGCCTAAACTATGTAGCATACTTACTTATTTGGCCCGGAGGTGGGTTTGACTGTCAAATTAGACGGTCAACCGAGTTTACCGTTAGTCAAAGTCCACCTCACTTGACATGTCAGCTATGTAGCATACTTACTTATTTGGCCCGGAGGTAGGTTTGACCGTCAAATTAGACGGTCAACCGAGTTTACCGTTAGTCAAAGTCCACCTCACTTGCCACGTCAGCTATCAGGAAATAAATTTTTTTTTTTGAATTTTGTTTAATTTCTAAAATTAATTTGGAGAGCTCTTTTAATTATTTTTTTTCGTTTATTATTTTTATTGTTAGAAAATAAACAAAATTCAAAAAAGTCAGAATTAAAAAATTAATATTTTATTCCCTGATAGCTGAAGTGGCAAGTGAGGTGGACCTTGAGTAACGGTCAACCTAATTTAACGGTCAAACCCGCCTCCGGGCCAAATAAGAAAGTATGCTACATAGTTTAGGTCAGGATAGCAATTAACGATACCACAGGCCAATGTAGAAAGTTTGTCTATAGTTCGGGCCAAATTAAGGTATTAACCATATAATCAATAATGTGTAAACAATACAATCACTATTGTGAGCTATTGGCTAATATTATGGCTTTAACTTTTTTTTTCTTCTTCTTACAAAATTGTGGGCAAATCAATTAACAGATATAGCTCAAGTTATGATGGATAGTGTATATTCACTTTACATCTTTTCTTTCTCGGAGAAGGAGGAGGGATTTGTCCACACTACATCCCCACGTGTTGATAAATGGCTGGGAGGTTAGGGAGAAAAATGACAGTAGAATACTTTAGTTAAACCCTTATGGAACAGTAAGCACATTGTTACTTTAATAAGTATCTAGATATATATTATAATATAACTAGGTGATTTTGGCCGCGCTATGCTGCGGCCTTAGATTGCTTTTATTGGAACCATTATTGTATTAATGATATTCAACCCGTAATATAGATGTCTTCATGCAATAAAGCCGTTATCAATTTCCTGCAATAAAAGCCATTATCAAACTTTATGAACATCCAGAGTAGGTAGACATGAAGAGAATCATATTTTTGGTAACTCTGTAAGTTCTTGCACCAAATTCCGCCTGATAGTTGATAAATGGGCTGCACAAGGGTGAATCGGATCCGTTCTATTGTTCACAAGCTGGATGGCCCCCTGGGAATCAGTTTCCACGATGTGAGTTCTGCAACCAAGCTTCCAC